TAAGTGGTGTTTGAAATTTCTAGTGTACTTAATCTATCTAATCCCCCTTAATCCACTGTACCGGATGCACCCTCAAAAAATGCTAATACATTTGTCAAACACAATATACCATTCATAAAACAATGTTGACTTAGTGAAAAATCATAGAATCCCTACAATGTGGAAACAGGCCCTTCAACCCAACAAGTCCACACTGACCCATCTCCCTATAGCCCACCTAAGCTCTGTAACCTTGAACACTATGGGCAATTTAGCATGGCCAATCCACCTAGCCTATGCATCTTTGGACTGTGGGAAGAAACTGGAGCACCCAGAGGAAACCCATGCAGACACATGGAGAATGTGCAAATTCCATACAGACAGTCACCCTGAGGCTGGAATCAAACCTGGGTCCCTGGTGCTGTGAGGCAGCAGTGCTAACCACTGTGCCATTGTGGCACTCTGTGTCTGATTGTACTATGATTTTCTAAATACATTAAGACATTTTTAACAATGGATTCCAGCACTTTCAATGACAAGTGATGTCAGCCTAACTAGGCATAAGTTTGGTCTGTTTTCCCTCTCCCTCCTTTCTTGAATAGCAGTGTTACATTTGAAAATTTCTAATTTTCTGGGACCATTGTAAAATCAAAAGAGGTTTGGAAATAATACATAGCACGTTCACTATCTCTGCAGCCATGTCTTTTAGAACAAGGATGTAGACTATTAGGTCTGAGATTTGTTGGCTTTTAGTTCCTAATTTTCTCCAGGACTATTTCTCTGCTGACATAAATTACTGTGCAGTTTTCATACCCTTGTTAGCCCCTGGGTTAATCCCTATTTCTGGTATGTAACTTGTATTTTCTATTGTGAAGACAGATAAAAAATATTTGTTTAATGACTCTGTCATTTTAGCACAATACTTTCTCCTGTCTCTGTCCCTAAGGAACCAACTTTCACTTTAGCTACTGTTCTGTACTGTATATACTAGTGCAGCATACTAATTCTGGGCAGTTTACCTTAATAATCTGTTTCTTTTCACCTTCTTATCAACTTTTTGGTGTCCCTTTGCTAGTTTCAAAAACACTCCTAATACTTACTACTGTTCTTTGCAATATATAAGTCTCTTTAATAATATCCTTAACATTCTCAGTAAGTCATGGATCTTTCTTGCTGAATTTTTGTTTATCAATTGAATATATCTTTTGTGAGCACTTTGAATTGTTTCAATAGACATTTCCTGCTGTTTATTAATTGCCATAACTTTTAGTCTATTTACCCAATCAACTATTGTAAGCTGTCCCCTTATGCCCACATAATTGGCTTTGTCCTTCTTCATACTTGGAGAATGTCACTTTCAAACTTGATATAAATTATTATTGAGAAGAGTCATGTTGCTCAAGCTTTTTGCCTTGCCTTCAGCAACAAAATGCAAGAATGACAAATTTCAAACAACCGTAACAATTTTTGTGCAGTTCTGTTCGCCGTACCATAGGAAGGATGTTAAGTCCCTGGGAGGGGATGCAAAAGAGGTTTACTGATGTTGTCAAGATTAAAGTGTATTAGCTATAAGGAGAGGTTGGACAAACTTGGATTGTTTTTGCTAGAGCATTGGAGGCTGAGGGGTGACCTAATAGAAGGATATAAAATCACAAGAGATGTGGATAGAGTAGATATTCAGAGACTTTTTCCCAGTGTGGAAATGTGAAATAGTAGGGGGCATAGGTTTAAGGTGAGAGGGGAGAAGTTTAAAGGAGATATGTGAGGAAAGTTTTTTTTACACAGAGTGTGGTAGGTGCCTGGAACGCACTGCCAGGACCCTGCATATGAATACATGTTACGTTTTTTAGCAAGTGTAAATAAGCCACATCATGAGCTCAACTGATCATCTTAAATTGGTTGTTAATGCAGCTATTAAGCGTAAGCAGGATTGGACAGCCCTTACTCAGCAATCAAGGAATTGTATTTAATAATAGATGTGGTAGGGTCCTCTTGTGGTGCAGTGGTAGTGTCCCTACACTGGGAGGCCCAGGTACAAATCCCACCTGCTCCAAGGGTGTGCAATAACATCTCTGAATAGGTTGATTAGAAAAATAGGTGAAAATTAAAAAATAAATATGTGGTAAGTTTTGGCTTTTTGCAAGCAAGGGCTCTGGTACAGCCTAATTGCCTATTACAAAAAGCCAGAAAAATCATCAGTCAATCATTTGGACATACGGTCTACACACCTGGCATTGCTGCAGCACTGAAATCAATGGACAATGTTGTTCAGTTGTTTTGTGGACAGAATGTCCTTTTGAATGGATGGTAGTGTCCTTTTAATGGAAAGAATTATTGGTGTAGCCACTGCATAATAGCCGTACGATATGCTTTGTTTTTGTTCAAATTTTTGAGTTACATTCCCATTCCAGGGTAGTTTGATGTAGACCAGCAACCATCAGGACCGAAAGTGGCAGTTCTTGGTCCTTTTTCTAGATTTCACGATATGCAGTGAACAGTGATCTAATTAGGACAGCCAATGACCCTGTCAGTCATTGTTCAAAATACAGATGTTTTCCACAGGTAGGTAGATATGGTTGTCCTTGATTGCAATGCATTCCACAAATTCCAACATGTTGCACTCATGGCACAACATCAGTTCTGTAATATTTGTCTGACCGTATTTATTTGATTAGTTATTTAGACATTAAGTTAGTCAGATAGAGTTGTAGCAAGTTAAAATTTGATAGGGTCAAGACAAAAGAAAACTCACCTGTTACTGGAGGTAAATCAAAAGGATAAATGCAGCATTGACCTTTACTGGACAATGTTGGATTAAATGAACATTATGGCACTAACTGTGAGCTCAGGGGAAGCCTGTAACTTCTCTATTTCATGTGCCCTCGTTATGTTTTCTGTTAGTTATTCCAAACTGACTTCCCTACCAGGGTTAAGTTTGTAGGTCTGCTGAGTTTTTATTTGCTGGGTTAAAGTCCACCTTGTTTGCAATAGGATAATAGTACACTGAATAAACAAAATAAAATTTAACAGGACAGATCTTCTGGACAGCAATGACACCGTAGGATCACCATTGACTGTGAGGATAAGTACGACTCTATTCTTTTCTGTCCCTGTTGCAGCCGCATTCCCTGGGCTCAACCATTGACAGAGAGAATGAAGTAGAGAAGCAGCTGAGAAGCCATTGCTTCTCTTTACGGTGCCAACTGTCATGCTAAGTCAAGTTCTTTGAAACCTTAAGGGTTTAAATGGACTTCATGGGTTAGTGGGTGGGTAGTTGAGATTGTGATTAAATTATTAAATGAGTGGGTTACTGAGTAGTTCAGTTAGTGAGTTTAGTGAATGATGAGGTTAGTGTGAGAGACATTTTTGAAGGGACTGGGTGATACAAATTTAAACTTACTAGGTAATTACAGAACCTGACTTTTGAAGAATCCCAATGAACAACAAAAGTAAGCCTCTTGGACAATGGGAACCAAAGATCCCATGACATTAATCAAGGAACATCAAGGAAGGTTTTGCATAATTTCTTGAACAACAAACAGCTTGCAATAAATCTTATAAAAACAGATGATCTATGCATTCATTTCTATTGTTTTTGAGACTTTAATGCGTTAAAATTAACTGCTGTGTCTGCCTATATTACAATATTGATCATATTTTAAAGTTGTTAATTGGCTGTGATGTGCTTACGATATTCCGAGGCTGCAAGGTGCAAACTAAACAGAAATCTGTCTCATTAACATAAGAAGCCAGTTCTCAGGAACAGATTTTTTTGACTTCTGGCATCAAGTATTATAACTAAACTTTATGAAATCCAGTATGGCATGAACTGAAAGTGGAGAAAAGTTTCAGTTTTGGCCATCTATAGCATCACCATGTTGTTGAGGCACTCTGTTCCCTGTCCGTCTGATAGAAGAGGTAGTTACATGCTTGAATGATTAAGTTTTATATATCCCATATATAAAGTGGCAACTGTTCTTGCCTCAGTATAAGCCACCTAAAAGAAAACTCAGCATATGTTTACTTGTAGTGAACAGTGTAGGTAAGAACCACCTTTTGTGCTATTCACATTCAGTTTGCATTGCCTTTCAAAGAATTAATAATCTGGACACATCAAAGCAGGATTAAGAATACAATCCAGATTTAGTGGAAGGTTTATACCTACCCTGCGCTGAACAATAATCAATTGAATGTGTTCCGCTTCACTTTTCAGTCATGTTCACACACCCAATTCAGCTAATTCCCCATTGATATGAAAAACATTGTAAACTGTTGTATGCATATCCTGGGACATTCATTTCCCAGGTTTCCTCAATTCACATATTAAATATTTTTTAAGGCTCACTAAATCTAAATAGGTGAAATTAAAACAACAGTCCTGAATACATTTGAAGAAGCATAGGTGTGTGTGAATCTTACGGGTTATTTAATTGTTGTTGTTCACTCTTGATGACTCAAACCTCCCAAATAAGCAAAACCTGAGACTATCTGTGACTTCTCATAGTCTCCATCACCAATCAGTTGACAATCTATTTGTCCACAGTTCTCTACTGAGGAACAAAGCAAACTAACAGTGAATGTTGAGCACCATTGCCTCAGAATAAACAAAGCATAACTTCCCTAAAAAGAGAAGGCTTTTCTATTAACAAGTTTTATCATTTTATCAAAGACAATTTATGTTGCTGAAAATATGCAGCATTCACTAGGTGCTCCTCAATCCCCTGGCACCAGATCCCAAGCCCCACTGCAACTGCAGGCCTAGGCTCAGCAATACTCTTCCCTGTGATGGAACAACTTGCCCAGCATAGACTCAAGGCAGTGGAAGCAGTTAGGGCATGTGGAAAACCAGCAGAGCCAGTTCTAATTCCAAAGACAAGTACTAAAGCTTTTTTCTTTTAAAGTTTAAAAATATACATTATCAGATTTAAAACTAGAAGCATGCTAATTTGCATCACAGGTGCCGTTCAACCTGTTGTGTTAATAATTTGTTTTACGAGCTCATCTTTGTACAATTTTACCAGCTGGAGATTCCCCGTGACTTGACACTGCTGCCGGGGCAGATGCTCTGTCTGGAAGAGGTGGTGAAACAAGAAAAACTTCGTCAGTCAAGTGCTCCAGTGAGACCAGAATTGCAGAGATTTTTAGTGGAGAAGCCTGATTCGGAATTCTATGATGATGTGCTGACCTCAATGCCAGCGTATGTAGCAACTCAGCTATGCTCCTTTGATAGTGCATTCAAACCTACAACTTCTACCACCTAGAAGGACAGGGACAGCAGATGCACAGAAGCATCACTTACAAGTTCCCCTCCAGGCCACATACCATCCTGACTTGGAACTGTCAGGTTCCTTCACTGTCGTTGGCTTAAAATCCTAGCATTCCCTTCCGAACAGAACCATGGGTGTGCCATTACCCGTGGACAATAGCAGAGATTACAGGCCCTGGTGCTGTTCTTAGCACAGACCAGGACACCACCCCTGATGCCCCACCCAAAGGTGAGCCTCCTGGAGCCCCAGGCCCTAGTTACTGGGCCTTGATGTGGCCTCCACGCCCTGAACTCTGCCCACACCATATGGACCGCAGCAGTTCTTGAAGGCAGCGCACCACTACTTCCTGCAGGAAAATGAGAAACAGGCAATAAATGCTGGTCAAGATAGAAATACCCACATCCCCTGAATAAATTTTGTTTATTTACGGTGAATACTTTTGTCTCTGAAGAAGTTACCTTTAGGAACAGAAAATTTCAGTCCTTTTTACCAGGGCTTGGTGTCAAATATGCCAGGTTAAACAAATCCCACTGCAGAGTCTGGCAATCTGAAACAAAAAGTGAAAATGCTGAGAAAAGTGACCAAGTCAGGCAGTATGTGTGAAGCAAAGACAAAGTTCATGTCTCAGGCCTGCACCTTTATTTAGAGTTCTGATGAGGGACAATAGCTTAAATGAACATCTCTTCCTTTTCTCATAGATGCTGCCTGACTTGTTAATTTATCGCTAACATTTTCTGCTTGTGTCAAATATAGTAACAAACGTTCATTTGATCCCACCCTAAAAAAGCCCAACCTTAGAAGTATACTCTACTGCACTAAGGTTGCATTTCCCTTTACCACATTAGCTATTCTAGTGGTTTCAAGTGAGAATTATCAAATTATGATGCGGACTCAAATTTGGAACTGGGTTGAGTTCACCAAATTCATTTCAAAGACTTCGATGAGCTTTGATTTTGGAAACATTTCAAGTATTTGATTTGCATGTAGTATAAGTATATCTTTTTCAGTAAAGAATTATTAGCTATGTACACATTGAAGTGTTCACTAAATGAGTACATCTATCAAAAGTATTTTTGAAACCTAACTCTGAAATGATCTGGATGATGCACTACTTGAAAACATAGTGGGTGGAAGAAGTTTTCAGTAATAAACTACAAAAGAAAATTGGATACATACTTGAAAAGGAAAACAAAAGCTTGCTTTGGGGAAACAGGCAGGGAATGAGGCCAACTTGACAGCTCCTAGAAAGAACTGACATAGTCAAGACCTGGATAGCCTCTTATGCCTTATTGCTTTACAATCCAGCTCTTATCCACTCTGTGCTATGTACGTTGAAGTATTGCAGATGTTGACGGTGCATTGTCAAAGTAAATGATTTGTACTCAAGGCTCAGCTTTACTGTTTCTGCAGGTGTTTCTACAAAATTTCTCGGAATGAAGCTGAAGCAATGTTGGAAAGGCACCCTGAGAATGGGAACTTGATACTACGGCCTTCCACTGAGAACACAAACTACTCAATCACTACTCTGACCACAAAGTACAGGTAGATTGTAATATGTGGGGAGGCAATATAAACTAGAGGGTATGCTTAGATGGTGAGAGCATGGTACGAATAACACAAAGGTTGAAGGTTCAATCCCTGTATGGACTAACATCACTCAGTTTCCACGCCAACTATTTAATTCTGTACTCTTGTATCATAGTTGTTTTGTCCCTTTCTCTGGCCTAGGACATCTGGGTTCATGTCCAACATGCTCCAGAGTTATGTATAATGTCTTTGAACAGGTTGAGGGTAGAGGATACGATTTTAAGTGAGCTGCAGGAGCAGCAATAATTGGGTATTTTGTATTTTTCAAAGTGATAAAGCATGTTCTTATAAAAATGGAAAGCATGGCTATAATAGATAAAATCATGAAGTACGGAACTTTCACAAATCATTGGTTTTGCTTCAGCTATTAGAGCACTGTATCCAATTCTGGGAAATTCTAGGAAAGATTTCCATGAAACCATAAGATAAAGGAGCAGAATTAGGCCATTCAGCCCATGAAAAATGCTCTGCTGTTTGATCATGGCTGATCTGTTTCTCAACACCATTGTCCTGCCTTCTCCCCATAAGTTTTAATTCCCTTAATAATCAAGAACCTATCTATTTCTGACTTAAATGCACTCAATGATTTGGCCTCTGCAGCCTTCTGTGGCAATGAGTTCCACAGATTCACTATCCTTTGGCCAAAAAAAGTTCCTCGTTATCTCAGTTCTAAAGGGCCATCCCTTCATTCTGAGGCTGTGCCTTAGTTTCTTAGTTTTTGCATCTTAGTTTCTCCTCCTAGTGGTTACATCTTCTCCACATCCACTCTATTCAAGCCTCTCAGTATTCTGTAAGTTTTAATCAGATTCTCCCTCATTCTTCTAAACTCCATCAAGTACAGACCCAGAGTCCTCATCAGCTCATCATATGACAAGCCCTTCATCCCTGGGATCATTGTTGTAAACCTCCTCTGGACCGTCTCCAAGGTGGGCACATCCTCCCTTACATTTGAGGCCCAAAACTGCTCACAGTATTCCAAATGTGGTCTGACCAGAGACTTAAATTGCCTCAGCCGTACATGTTCTTGTATTCTAGCCCTCTCAAAATGAATGCTAACATCGCATTTGTCTTCCTGACTGCCCACTGAACCTGCATGTTAACCTTAAAAGAAGGCTTAACTAGGACTCCTAAGGCCCTTTGTACTTCAGATTTCCTTGTCCCAAGTTAGAAAATAGCCTATGCCTCTATTCTTACTACCAAAATGCATAACCTGAATTTTCCCACATTGTAAGCCATGTGCTACTTGTTTGCGCATTCTCCTTGCCTGCCGGAGGCATTCTGTAGCCTCCCAGCTTCCACAACACTACTTCTCCCTCCACTTATTTTTGTGTCATCTGCAAACTCAGCAACCACAAACTCAGTTTCTTCATCCAGTTTGCAAGCTTGTGGGTAAAGGGCCTGTTCCTGTGAGGTACTGTTCTTTTTTTCTGTTAATGTATAACGTGAATAGTTGTGGCTCCAATACCAACCCTTGTGGAACTCCACTAGTCACTGGTGCAATCCTGGAAAAGGCCCCTTTAACTCCACGCTCTGGCTTCTGCTGGCCAGCCATTTCCCTACCCATGCCAGTACCCCACCTCTAACACTATGGGCTGTTGTCTTATTTAGCAGCCTCCTGTGTGGCACCTTGTCAAAGGCCTTCTGGACAACAAAATAGATCACTTCCATTGACTCTCTTTTGTCTAACTTTCTCAGTACCTCCTCAAAGAATTCTAACAGATTTCAAAGCCTTAGGGAGAGGGTACAGAGGAAATTTCCTAAAATTATACCATGAGTAAGATACTTAAGTTTTGTGGAATGACTAGAGAAACTGGGGAAGAATTTTAACCACTCCCTGACCCGGGAGCATGGTGGCAGGGGAGGGGTCTTAAAATTAGGTGAATTCCCTTAAGCGGACATGTAGGCTACAAGTTTGGCACAGTGGCCCATCATGTTCAGGTACCCTGTGCTTAAAGGAGTACCCTTACAATAGTGAGCACTGTCCTCAATAAATCTCTCACAACAATCTGTAAATTTCAGTGTTCTCCCCTCACCCCATCACAGTGAAAATCCCTTGTGATCTGGGGTGATCTTGACTAGTTGTCAAAACATATACTACTTCAGTCCCTTCATAGACTCATAGAATCCCTCCAGTGTGGAAGCAGGCCAATTGGCCCAATGACTCCACACTGACCCTCCAAAGAAAATCCCACCCAGATGCACCCTCCACAGCCTAACTTATCCCTATAACTTGCATTTCCCAGGGCTAATCCACCTAGCTTGCATATCCCTGGATACTATGGGAAATTTAGCATGGCTAATCCATCAAACTTGCACATCTTTAGACTGCAGGAGGAAACCAGAGTATCCAGAGGAAACCCATGCAGATACGGGGAGAATGTGCAAACTCCATACAGACAGCTGCCTAAGGGTGGATTTGAACCCAGATCCCTGACGTTGTGAGGCAACAGTACCAACCACTGAGCCACCATGCTGCCCCAAATCTCTGTTCAGATCTCTCTTCATATGTCTGCTGTACTCTACATGATCCACGCTGTTACCAAATTCTGACTGTGTCTTTTGTCAATGTTCAGGGAGGCATATAAAACCTTCTCAACACAATGGGCACAAGGTATTTCTTTGATATTACCAAACGTAGACATGAAATGAAGTGAATTTTAGTTTGTATTGCAAGATGCTTTGATCCAGATATTCCAACGGCCAGTCTTGAAACAGTGTAGACTGGAATTGTGTGTTGGCACCGTGCAGGCTTCCCGGTACAGCTGACTCTGAGGCATTTGCTCAGGAAATAGAAAATTCCAATGGTCAATTCCCTTGCACCTGGAATCTTCCGATAAAGCTCCTTAAAGTTGGAGGGATCCAACTTACTTTAAGTTTTTAAGGTTCATAATATTATTCTTTTATAAAAAGGTCAAAATGTCATTTTAAAACATCATTTACAAGAAGTCATTTTGTTTCAGCTAAATGACCAGCAAACCTGACACCACCCATCCAATGCTATCTCTCAAACAGACCTGAACCCACAGGAGCCAACAATAGGAAAAAAACAAGGGACCACACTTCAAAAAATAATTCGTTGGCTGTATATTATCTTGTGTTTATTATGTGGTAATAAAGGACATTGTATAAATGCTAGTCTTTTATTATCGCCTAATATGTTGACAGTTAGAAAATGTTGACTGACAGTTTTAGTCTTGCCTGTGGTCTGAAAGTGAAAGCAAGATGGGAAGAGACAGTTAATACCAATGGAATGTTAAGTTTAGCATGGTGTAAAATAGTCCATCTTAAAATCTTCATGCTCCTTCCGAGTACGTCAGCATAAAATTAAAAACCGAAATAATTGCGGATGTAGAAATCAGAAACAGGACACAAATTGCTGGACTAGCTCAGCAGGTCTGGCAGCATCTGTGAAGAGAAATCAGAGTTAATGTTTTGGGTCCGGTGACCCCTCCTCAGAGCATAAAATTAATGCTTGTGTAGTCTCTCTTCACGGTGAAAACTGCCATAAGAGTCAAGTAATCTAATTTTATTACTATACATGTTTCTGATGGTTTTTAAATATAAATCCATTTGCTGTGTGTACACATCACCTTGAAATGCATGTTAAAAACAAACGACAGTCTCTGACTTTTATTATCAGTCCTCCAACACAGGTGTAAACATATGCTCCCTCCACCATCATTGTATTATTGTGAGTCTGGGTACTATCTACAGCATGCAGCTTCTAACGCCATGATTTCCACAACCTAGAAGGATAAGAGCATTATCAGCTTCAGGTCACACACCATCCTGATTTGATCTCATTGTCAATTCTTAATCAGCACAGGGTGAAGAACAGGAACTTTTTAAGTTTACATTTAATGATTGTTCAAATTTATCTTTCAGTAGGCGAGTCATAAAACACTACAAGGTGACCTGTGAAGAGAGTGGATTTGTCATCTGGGTGAACTATCCAGTAGGTTTCTTTCTGAATTTATTCTGAAATTTTATAGTTTAAGATTTCCATGTTTTATCATGTACATAAAACTTGCATGAAATCAATGTGACTTGTGGGCAATGGCTAAACATTAAAAAAAACTGTGGTTACACTTCAGAAATATTGAATTGGCTCTGAAGTGTATTGGAATGTTTTGCAGTTGACTGTTTAATCTTAGCAACCTTTCAATGTGAAACTGCAAAGAAAGAACAGGAAGTGTGGTACAGTGATTGTGACGGGGTCAGCCAGGTGGACTTGATGGAATATGAGTTCCCTGATTGGGGCTGTTAACCTGGTCCAATCAGGGTGTCCTGGCTGACAGATATAAACAGGAGTGTCAGAGGTTCCGTTCACTCTGACAGCTGGCTCTGACAGAGCAGGATCAGTGTCAAGGACTCTCCACATGTAAATAAAGAGTAACTTGGTGATAGGATGCTGGCCTCTGTGGAGTTATTTCAATGGCAATGAGAGAAAAGCACGTTCCTGAAGAAATTCACTCGCAACTGTCATCTTTGATATGGGATAAGCAGTTTGGGCATCATACTGATATTTGGAAAGCTTGACTCGTCGAAGACTGGCCTAATATGTGAAAAGAATACATTAATTTTTCTGGGCAAATGATATTGGGACAGAAGAAAAGAACTGAGTAATTCTCTCTACAGCTTGTGGATCCGCAGCTTTTATAGTATTTCGGAGGCTAATTTTCTCTGAGGTACCAAATTCTAAAACCTTTCAAGAGTTGATGGATCTAGTTAAGGAATATTACTACCCAAGCCTCCTCTAATTCTGAGGCAATATCTGTTTAACTCGACAACTCAAGAACCAGGGAAATCTGTGTTGGGATTTTTAACAAGGTTAAGATGACTGGCAGAGACATGTGACTTTGGTTTAACCCTTAATGTCAAGCTGAGAGACCATTTGGTATGTGGAATTAATGATGCAACCATGCAAAAGTGCCTAAACGCTGAAGCCCAACTGGACTTCAAACAGGCATTACAACTGCTTTATCATTGGAAAATGCAGCAAGTGGAGCATATGGGTTGCAGGGAGACACCAGTTTGGTAAATGCAATTACATAGACTCACTCAGGACTTATCCTGAACAGAGGGATTCTAGGTCAGCCTACAGCAAAACCGCAAAAGAAAGCCAAGCGTTGGACAAATGATTAAAATTTTCTTCAGGATCCTGCCTGCAAGCCATTGCAGTTGTTGCCGATTTGCGGACTCAAGACAGCAAAAGAGTTCCACATGATCTAAATGAAGTAAGAGAACTCGTAGGCAGGTATCCAGGAGAGTGCACACCCTGGAAAATCCACCTATGTCTGGTTTGGAGCAGTAAAATAGTTTAGCAACATCCAAATTCGAACCTATCAAAATAAACGTCTGATCACAGAACAAGCCTTTAACAAAATTTGCTCTGGATTCCAGCCCTTAAATTTGCACAAGATCTCGGCTAGACTGAGAACCTATACCAGGAAACCTTTACAGATTAAAAGTACAACTTTGGTTCTAGTCTCTTATGAGAAGTAGCTTGTTCAGTTACCACTGATTGTAATAAAAGGCTTGCGCCCAAGCTTGATGGGGCGAAATTGGCTCAGTACAATTCACCTTGATTGGCTCAACATTATTCAATTAGAAAATGGCTGCCTGAATGAAGTCCTAATTAAATTTAAAGGCTCCAGTGATGATGTCACCTAGCATGGTGACGAAACATTTGAACAAAAACAAGGCACCTCAGCAAGCAAGTTAACAATCTCATCCTAATTAAATACCTGGAAGATTTTCAGGAAGGTCGAGGGACTGTCAAAGGAGCCAAGGCCACCCTGCATGTTGACCAGGAAGCAATCCCATGATTCTGCAAGGCCCGTCCAGTGCCATTTGCCTTACAGGCGAAAGTAGAGGCAGAAATCAGAAGGCTAGAAGTAAAGGAATCATTAAATCAGTTAAGTTTGTGGAATGGGCAGCACCAGTCTTACCAATTGTGAAGCACGATGGATCGGGTTGCCTTTGTGGGGATTTTAAACACACAGTAAACTGCTTTTCGCAGCTGGATAAATACCCAGAAGTGTGCGTCACCAATAATGGGCTATTGTTTACCAGCAGGGAATTTGAGTATTTCCTTAAGTCAAATGGTATTCATCACATAAGGATAACTGCAATACTATCCATCATCCAATGGTTTGGCAGAAAGAGCAGTCCAAACTTTGAAGGCAGCCTTAAAGAAAAAACCAGCAGGTTCACTAGATACCAAGCTAGCCCAGTTCCTATTTGGTTATAGGACAACATCTCATGCAACTATGGGAATAGCTCCAGCAGAGTTGCTAATGGGGAGAAGACTCCACACCAGGTTAAATTTGATCTTTCAGGACCCGGCGGGGGCGGGGGGGAGGGTGAGGTGAGGGTGAACTGGCATCAGGACTGCCAATGCTGAACACAACACTCTGCTAAGCAAGTTCTCCTGATCGAATGCTGAAAGCACACTGCATCTGCATTTATCTGGATTTCCACGAATCTTCCACTGAAATTACACCCTATGCCCAATTGGAATTTAGTGCATTATATACCTTTGTATAATTTCAATATGTCCCATATCTAAAGGGATTTATTGTATCCTCTGGTCAATGGAACATTAATACATCTTCTCCAGCCTAGAGGAATTAAGTGCACCTAATATCCAATGTGATGTTGGTGACTCCTCTGGCTGCTAGGATTTTAGTACATCCCATGCTTATTATTAATTGCCTTGCCTTGAGGTTATTGAGAGTGAACTACAGAGTGAGGATATAAAATTATACGTAAACTAGATCAGATCAAGGTGGCACTTTCCCTTTCTCGAATTACATTAGCACATGTGCTGACATCTTTATATTACACCCTATACTAGCATTTTTAATACCAGCTTGCTCCAACATTTCTATCCATTAAACATTTTCAAAAGGTTTGATTACTATTGTTCTTATTATTAAGCTTATTATTATTATTAAAGAATTATATTTTTGGTCCAGGAGCACTCTGGCCTTAGTTAATGTTATACCACTGAACTCAGTGCTTCATTGATTTACCTAAATAATAGTAATTTTTGCCTTATTATCTTTATTTCATTGAAGAAAGAACAAATTAAGGGTGACAGAAAAGAAAATGCATTGAGTAGTTCCCACTGTTCCACTAATGCTGGCCATGGCACTCTGTAAGGGAATACTCATAGCCCTAATAAAATCAGACAGCCGCAAAGCTTTTGGCTAGGATACAAGCATTCAAGTGTATTGTATTGTTGTCTTATTGTAACACCACCATCACTACTCTTAAGGAACATAAAGCATATCGAACAACAGTAGCTGTCAGTCAAACTGAATGTCTGAGCCTGTGCTCAAACTGCAAAGTCAGAATTAGCAAGAAGTTGCCAGTCTGTTGGTATAGGACCCCTGTACTTTGGCTGTAGTCAGTTAAACCAAATTTCCTGCGCTGTTATTCTAAATTTCTTATCTATTCCGTTTGGTAAATAAGCTTTAGCCTGTTTATACAGTATCCTCAATTAAATCTTTATCTCATTTAGAATAACCAGTTGAAGGTGAAGGTTCAAAGTACAAGGTCCTTTTATAAGGAGAGAGCATGTGGCATCACTAGTTGAGTTTTAAAAGCCTGTAAAACATAGGAGGTAGGTAAAACTGAGGAAAGTAAGGAATTGCAGAGATTTTCTTGACTTAACAAACAGCAATTTGTTTTCTTCCCTTGCCATAGGTCACATGTAGGAGCCTTCAGGAAGTTATTGATCACTTTATAAAAGAGACCAGTGGGGCTTTGAAACCGTATATAGAATCTGATGTGTATGCCGACAAAATTGGTATGTTTATCCATCCACATTGTACATCAACCTGTGTATGTGCAAACTCATTTAGTCTGAGTAACAACATCCTAATTTAAACAAGGAATGGAGCATGTTTAAAGAAAAGTAAGCAGAAAGAACTTGCACTTACATAACATATTTCATGACCTCAGAACTGTTATGTAAGGGCCTGAAAGAATTTATGCAGAGGAGTGCCTTAAGCACCACCATTCAATGTTCCCTCTAAGCTGTGAGGCTGTGCAGCTACTCTGAGGATCTTCGGATGCCGATACATTCTCTTTCAATTTCTCCAGCTGCTGTGGCACCTGGACCTTGGAGATCCATGCAACAGCCAGAGAACTTAGAGGGAATGTCGACTATGATGTTGCCATATGGGCTCGAAGGAGAACACCTTAGGTTCCTGAAAGAGTAAGGCCTGTCTAGTCCTCCCTCATAGTCTCTGTAATAATGTCGATCACATTTCGTATAACCTGTATGTAGTTACTACCTTACAACAAACTGTGTGTTGTTTACAAGAGCCTCTTTTCATTAGACTATGGTTTTCCTGTACCACACTAGACCAAACAAGCTCTGCAGAACTCTGAATGAAGATGGTGGTCATGAGCAGTAGTACAGAGTGCTCATACAACTTGATGAACAGCAGTATGGATTGCTTACACAACACAGTGGCAAGTGGTGCAGATTCGATAAAGCCCCTCCAGGTCCATCTAGCTGGAGGGTTAGTCATTCCAGGCAGTTACAGATTACACTGGGTGCCAGTGACCTTTTGGGGCAGTCCCACATTGGGGTTCAGTTGTTGAGCAAACAGATATGAAAGGCTCTGCCAGGAAAGTTAAAATTCCTGGTGCGTGAGTATGACCTTTAACAGAACAGCACAGATTTACAGTATTGGAAAACAAAAAGTGGTGAAGTACTTACAGCTCATATCAAGCATCACCGCCATAGTAAGAGGATACCATGAGACACAGCTACAGTCAAGAGCTACAAAACCAAGTCAAAACAAGGTGACAGCACTGGGAATGTGGCAAAATCAAAATTAAAGCGATGAAAAGGCATTTTAGAAACCTAAATGGGCAATGTCTTATTGCTAAGTGCTGCTTGAATGGTGTATTGGGAATTTAGTGAGTTGAGGGATTTACAAGAGGAGAGGAAGGAGGCAATTCTTCATTTTCCTTTAAAAAGACACTTTTGATTTTATAGGAATTGGTTCTTCCTGTTACCCTAAATATCCAATTTATAGGCACAGAAGAAAGAACTGATTAGTGAATAATGTTGAGAAATTTTACTTTCTACTCTCTAATTTCCATTTTATAGCAAATAGTTTAACAGTAAGGAGAGCATTACAGTGCTGGAAAAAGAGAATGTCCCAGTGGTTTCATGAACAGAATCAGTTTGGTTAGATCCGATTTGACTAAGGTGCAAATACATTGCTCGTGGTAGTCTATGGATTGCCAACTCATGGGAACGATGCAAAAAGAAAACACATCTGTGAAGAAATTAAAGGGGTTCAAACATCATAGACAGCTATAATTAAAGACCTTAATTATTCAAATGTGAGCTGGAATGGCGGTAGAACGTTGGGGAACCAACTTTCCTAGATTGTGTTAAGGAGAATTTTCTACAGCTGAATGTGTCCAATGAGAAAGGAGACACTGCTAGACCTGGTGCTTGTGAATGATGTGGGCTGAGTAGGTCAGGTGTCAGTGGGGTTTATTTAGGTATCAGTGATCATTGTATCATAAAGTTTAGGATGATGGTGGGAAAGACCAATGAACAATCCAGAATAAGAACAATTGATTGAGGTAGAACTGACAAAAAGGGAGCTGAGCTGGATAGACTGAAGCCAAAGTTTGGCAGGTGAGACTGTAGCTAAACATTGGGCTAAATGATAATGGTATACCCCCTCAAAGGGGAGTGGTAGGGCAAAAAATTTCAGAACTCCCTGGGTGGCAAAAGGATGAACTGGGCCAAATAGAGACTGAAAAGGGAATTTATATATCGAAACAAAAGGTATTATTGAAGTATTAAATGAACACTTTGCACCTGTCTTTACCAAGGAAGCATTTGTACTGAAGTCCCCCAGGCGTTGAAATTGAGACCCTTGCTTTTCCTAATTATATTTCAATGATCTAGACCTTGGAGTACAGAGGGCAATTTCAAAGTTTGCAGATAATATAAAGCATGAAGCATTATTAACAATATGGAGTTCGGTATAGAATTTCACTTTTAGCGGCACAATACAAATGCCCCTGGCCGTATTAATCATAGTCCCAGTTCTGAAAACCAACAAAATATAACTGGGATCCTATTCCATTATTCCTAGCTGGAGAATCTGGCAACTGGCCTGCTTTAAACACTGTCATTGTTTCAAAGTAAACATTTCGAACTCCCAGGACACTCAGCTAAGATCATCAAAGGAGCACTGAGAGGATAGTATGTTTCAGAATGGCACCCAATCACTAGTGGAGTTCCACAGGGGTCAGTGTTAGGACCCAACGATTCACATTATACATTAATGATCTTGTTTCTAAGTTTGCAGATGACACAAAGGTAGGTGGAGGAACAGGTAGTGTTGAGGAATCGGGAAGACTGCAGAAGGACTTGGACAGGCTAGGAGAGTAAGCAAAGAAGTGGCAGATGGAATACAGAGTGGAAAAGTGTGAGGTTATGCACTTTAGTGGGAAGAATAGAGGAATAGACTATTTTCTAAATTAGGAAAGGCTTTGGAAATCTGAAGCTCAAAGGGACTTGAGAGTCCTAGGTCAGGATTCTCCTAAGGTTAAGATGCATGTTCAGTTGGCAGTCAGGAAGGCTAATTCAATGTTAGCATTCATTTCAAGAGGGCTAAATGGAAGAGCAGAGATGTAATACTGAGGCTGTATAAGACTCTGATCAGACTGCATTTAAATACTTTGAGCAGTTTTGGACCCCGTATCTAAGGAAGGATGCGCTGTCATTTGAGGGGATCCAGAGGAGGTTTACAAGAATGATTCCGGGGATGAAGGGCTTGTCATGTGAGGAGCGGTTGAGGACTCTGGGTCTGTGTTTGATGGAGTTTAGAAGGATGAGGGGGGCAGTGGGATATGTTTGAAATTTACAGAATACTGAGATGCCTGGATAGAGTGGATGTAGAGAAGATGTTTCCATTTATAGGAGAGACTAGGACCTGAGGATACAGCCTCAGAGTGAAGGGACAACACCTTAGAACTGAGATGAAAAGGAATTTTATCAGCCCTGCAGGTGCTGAATCTGTGGAACTCGTTGTGGCAGAAGGCTATTGAGGCCAAGTCATTGAATGTAATTAAGACAGAGATAGATAAGTTCTTGATTAGTAAGGGCATCAAGGATTACAGGGAGAAGGCAGAGGAATGAAGTTGAGAAACGTATCAGCCATGATCAAATGGTGGAGCAGTTTTGATAGGCCAATTGGCCTAATCCTGCTCTTATTTCTTATGGTCTTAAAATTTGAAAGGAAAAGTTGCTGAAGTGGGCAGATATTAGGCAAAATGAAATTCAATGTGGAGAACTGTGTGGTAATTCATTTTGATAGAACTTAGAGGAACAGATGAAAATAGTATAAAACTCCTCTAAAAGATGTTCAAGATCAGAGAGACGTTGTGAATATGTGCATAATTCATTATAACTAATAAGACACTGTAGCAGTTAATAGACCATGCAGTGTTTTTGACTTTATTAATATGGCATGGAATACATGAGCATGGAGGTTATGCTGAACTGGGTAAGGCACCAGTCATACCTCACCTGGAGTATTGTATATAGTTCTAGGTGCTACCCTTCAGGAAGGATGTGAATGCATTGGAGGTGTGGGAGAGGTTTATAAGAATGTCTCCAGGAATGTGAAACTTCAGTTATGAAACTAGATTGTAGAATTTGGCACTGTTTTCTTTGGGGAATAGATAGGTGGGGGAGATTTGTTGGAAGTTTTCAAAGTCATGAGTGGTCTGGTGAGAGCAGATAGGGAGGAACAATTCTTGCTCTTTTGGATGGGGAACAAGAGGGCACAGGTTTAAAGTAACTTGTGAAAGGAGTTAATGCAATGAGAGAAAAAAGCTTTATCACACAGTGAGTAGTTATAGTCTGGAATGAACTGCCTGGAATTTTCTTCGGTTCACGGGTTCAATTGAGGCACCTAAGAAGCATTAGATGATTATTTAAATCGAAACAATGTATAGGGCTATGGTGAGAAGGTGGAAGAAAGGCACTAAGTCATCATGCTCATTTCGACAGTGTGAAGGCTTCTGCCTTGTAAAAAATACTGCAATTTTATGAAAAGGTCGGAATCCTCCATTTTACTCACGTATGTTCGGAGTCAGCATTTCTCTAATTTTCTTACTGGCTGCGCAGGCCTCCAAGGCTTGAGCATTGCAGCAACTTCTGGAACTGGAAGTCAGTGTCACGATTGACATGCCAACTCTAATCACCATGCGTGAAACATTGGAGCAGTAGTGTGCATGCAGCTGCACAGCTTAGAGGGAACATTGATTGGAGTCCTCTATTTTGAATTCAAAATATGCACAATCCTGCAGAACAGCAGTGCACAGCAACATCTGTGTTATACTTCAAAATTATTTGCCTTTAAAGCAAGGGAAATAAATAATCATTTTAGAAAGATACAGCCTCAGAAATAATATTGCCAGGAAGAGTTCATTTTAAGAATGGGCCAAATAGAACTCGATATTGGACATTTTGGATGTTTTTAAGATATAGAAAGCTGCTAAACAAGATACTAAATCAGAAGCTGAACAAGTTAATAAACTTCTCTACACAAAAAGGAATATAACTGATGACATTACAGCTTGCCAACCTGTAAAGGAAGTAACAGAGACTTTTGAAGAATTATTGAGAACCTTTGACAATTAGCTTAACTTCAGAAGAGTTAAATTAAGTGTCCAGTTTATTTAAAGAAGTTGATCGTTAATCTTTGTTAATTTAGAAAAGAAATATTTGGTGATTGGTCCAGTTACACTGATATCAAGATATTGTATTTTATTTGGAGAAAGAGAGATGTATTGTTATATTACTTGAAAATAAATAGGACTTCATTGCTTTGAAAATATATATCTGGGGTGCCACATTTCACTTCTACACTGCAGTCAAGTGCTGAGTAATAATGTATTAAACCACCACATGGATAACAGATAAAAAATACACTTGGAGATCATCAAGAATTTTGAGTCTAAAGTATGATCATTTCTAACTTAGAGAGGCAGACAACAGAACAGGACTCTATACCTTCGACTACTAAGTGTCTCCCATTACATAAATTTGCCTGTCTCCTTCCAGTAATCTCTATTGCTCTCCAATGTTATTTGAGCCTGCCACACTGCATTCAACAGCCTCAGTCATTTTTACAGATATAAATATTCGGTAACCTTGAAACTGTTTGTTTGATAACCAGGTACAACAGGTCAGAGTATTCATCATTCTTATTTTTATACCTTACACGCCAAATTTAAACCAAAGCCTAAATTAATCTCAACATTCACTCTGACTGTGATTTCCACAGAAACAATGTTATATTCAGTTATTTCAAATATGTGACCTCAGTTATTTTGCTTTTATCCTTATTTCAGAGGTGTCCAAAAATCCAAATGAAAAAACAAACAAGAAGTTGGTGCCTATGTCAAGAGTAACCCCAATTCAATGCCCCCCAGTCCTACCATCTGAGCATCCAGGCATCCAAAGAATAATGAAATCTCCATCTAAATCTCCTCAAAAGCTGCCTCTAAGACCAGGTACGTTTCATATTTTGATTTGTCAATGTCACTTCAGTTAACTAATTTACCAAATAGTCAGTTAATTATGAAATAAATTGAAGATTACAGGGATAGTTACAGTATCTGTCGAGGAAAAAATGCGCCTAAAGGATTTTGAGTCTGAACTTTTTGGAACAAAGATACGTCATGTATGAACTGTAGCTGAACAAGGTTGATTTGACTGACTGGCCTTATGACATCTTGTGTTCTTAAGATGAAACATCCATAACAATCATTGAAAACCAACTACAATACATTACCAACAGCACAAAATCCCATTATCTTACAATGTCCAGATTTGAGTAGTACAGTAAAAGGCACATTCAACATAAAAACAAATGAAATCCCCGGTCCAGTTTCTGGTCTTTACTGATTATGTTTATTTTTGCCCAAATGGCACAGGTGATGCTGAAGTTGTATCTAACATCTCCTCACTGGTAGGGTAAGAGGTGGCGGGGGAGGTGGTGGGCAGCATTGTGGAGGGTGAGTATGAGGATGAGGATGAGGACAGTGGATGGAACTCAAAGGAGAGGTTGAATCAGTTAAAATTTGCAGTCTTTGTGTATATTATGCCTTGCAGAGAAACCAGTGTTTCTGTTTCATCTGTTTCACATATTATATTCAGGTCTAAGGCAGTTGGAGTTAAGAAAAATATTTGTCGCAGACCAAAGCTGCCATCTTGCCATGTAAAGTGTTTGATAATATCACTTTTATTTTTGCAGCAGAAATGAGCAGCAGAAGTCCAGCGAACACGGAACCTGAGCCAAGTTACATGAATGATGAATGTAGGAACTGTGATCTAGTTCTATCTTTTTTTCTTTGGAAATGAAGCTTTCCTTTTGTGTGAGGTTTTGTTCACAATAATTGTATGTTTCAATGTTATCATTGCATCAAATTTTAATTCTTTAATTCTCTGCTTCTTTAATTGCAAAAATAACTGATGATAACTGTAGTTAACCATTGGAACCAGGTGGATCTTGTTGACTACGAGATCTCTGACTGGGATTTTTAACCTGGGTCAATCAGGAAACCCTGGCTGACCAATATAAACAGGGGATCTCGGGTGTCCCTGGAGAAGGAGCACGCGGTGTGCACTGGTGCTCTTGATGCCTTTTGGGAGAGGTGGGCACCATGGGGTGTGGAGTGCTTTGTTTCCCCCACAAACTCCACTTTGGTTTGATCCCTACCCTCCCCCTCACCTTTTTTTTCCACATAGGCATTGTCCCTAGGGGCTCTGCTTGATACTGATGCTTTTGTCATGTGGGTGCTTTTCCTGGTGGTGGTACATTAATAAAGTTATTTGCACACCTGGTGTTTTTTTTACTGTGCCTCATGCCTGCACACGCACAGCAAGGGTGCTGGGAAGATAAGAAAAAATATAAACAGGGGATTCAGAGTCTCCTCACTTTAGAGACAAAAAATATAAACAGGGGATTTAGAATCCCCTTGGCTTAGGGAACTGACTGGCCATAGCTAGTGTACTGTGCACAAGTAAATAAAGGGCAAGTTGGTGATGGGATACCAGCCTCTGTACAATTCTTGCAATAACTGTGAGATATTGCTTATAGCCTCATGTGTTTCTGTAACTGAGGTATTTAATGTTATCCAGTTACTTTTGCATTCAGTGAATGTTTTTATAATTGAAACAAAACCTTTTCGTGTGTCTGTAGTTTGAGGATCCTTTGCTAATTATGTAATCAGCTCATGTATCAAGTTGACAATTTTTAACCTTTTCAAAGAACAGACAAACTATTTTGGGGATCAACAAAATAATCCAAATGGCAATTGACATGAAAATATTGTGCTGCTGTATGTCAGCTCAAATCACCAAGGTGTTTTGTGCATGAAGATTATGAGTTACCTCTAGAATTTTAGACAATAGTAAGTAATATTGAAACTTGCTGTCCTATTCAAACCCATTGCTGCACTCTAGGAGTCAGCATCTTTTACTTTGAAATTTGACTATCTGTCAAGATGATCCTATTCTATCCAAATGCTGATGTATTAATTGTTCCAAATATTTTGAAGTGACTAATGTGCAAATTTAGTTGGTCAGTGCTTTATGTAATAGTGCCACTCAGATTTCATTGCATGGCTGATTATAGTATCACAATAGACATTTCTTTATCTATTTCAGTTCATCTAAAAATGAACCAGATGGTCATAGCAGGTGAGTGGAGGAACTGTCCCTGAATTTATTTGCGTTGTTTGTGTGATTAACACATGCAGATTGAAGAGTGAATGTAATTTGTCTTTTGCTTTAATGTAGATGATAGGCCTCCCACCCGTACTCCTCCAAAACCAAGATTATCTCGGCTCTTTGCTACAGGTATCCTTGCCATTTTTCATTTCATTTATTTGTGTTGTTTATAAGCTGCTTTATTTGTTGTAATTTACGCAATGTCTGATCACACCAAGAATAATGTTTTCCACTGTGATACAGAAGATTAATAGAGGCTTATTTTTAATTGGGGGAAGTGTGAAGAATGGTTTCCCTTTGTCTGTAACAAGAGATTACCAACTTAAACTTGTCATCAGGAGAGTGAGGAGGAAGGTTGGAAAATAACTACTTTGCTCAAGTGAATGGCAGAGCATAACATACTTTGCCACAGAAAGGAATAACATACTCATTCTAATGTACAAAGAGATTTGGATATGCTGTTTACAAGTTTAGAACTTCAAACTTAAATTTCTTTGCTTGATATAGTTAAGGGCGTCTGGTTATTGTCTGACATAAACAAGGATAAGACTTTTCTAGCCTATGCTTACCAAATAGTAAAGGTAAAATAAAAGCAAGAGTCCGTGTTCCACTTTGTAAGGTGTGTCTGCATGGATTAAGCCTGTGATTTACACATTCGGGGTAACTGTAGACACTGCTAGTGGTCTGGATGACTACGTGAGCAGGAGGTGCCTCTGGCTGGAGCAACTTGAGCTCTGGGTGTTGGAGGTTGAGTAGCAGCTGAGGATATTGCAGTGTATTCAGGAAGCTGAGAGATATGTGAATAGTATGTGTCAGGACATGGTCACCCACAGCTTAAGGAGTGCAGACAGAGGGAATGGATGATGGCCAGACAGAAGACGGGAACAAGACGGGTAGAAGGGAATCCCCAGAGCGCATCACGCTTGCAAACCATTTTTCAGCCTTGAGAAACAGTGTGAATGGCTGTTCCTCTGTGGAGGCCAGCCAGAGCTAAGACCATGGCACATTGGGTGGCCCAGCTGCTCAGAAGTGTAGAAGGGCAATACTGGTACGGATTGAGTGAGGGGAGTAGATGGATGCTTTTGTGGCTATCGTCATGATTTTGGGTTGGTAGGTTATCTCCCAGGTACCAGGGTCAGGATGGACGGCTGCAGGGCATTCTGAAGGAGGAGAGTCTACAGTTAGACCATGGTCCATATTAGGATCCATGCCACAAGAAGAAAGAAAGAAGTCCCACAAACAGATTTTAAGGAATTGCATAGAAAACTGAAAAGCAGGACTTCAAAGGTAGTAAACTCTGCATTAATCCTCGTGTCATACAATAGTGAGTGTAGGAATAGAATGAAAGAGCAGATGAATATATGACTGGAGAGTTGGTGTGGGAAGGAGGGCTTCAGATTTGAGGTATTGGGACCGTTTCTAGTGGAAGTGGGGACGATACAAGTTCGATGAGTCCCATCTGAAGAGGAATGGGACCAACCCCCTCTCTGTGGTTTGCTAATGCTGCTCGGGCAGATTTTAAATGAGATTTGCAAGGGGGCTAGGATCCTAACAAGTAGCTCAGAGGGCAGAGATGGAATTAAACTTAAAACACAAGTAAGTCTAGAAAACAGAGGAAACATAAGCTAGAAGAAACAGAAGTGAGTTTAACAAGACTAAATGGAATATATTTTAATGCACGGAGCCTGAGGAACAAAATGAGCTGAGGGCCTCCATACTCATGTAGGAGTATGATGTCACAGCTATGACCAAGACTCACAGTTTATGGGGTATATGTGGCAGAGATCGCAATATTGCTCAAGGAATCCATTCTGTCAGAGTGGGAACATTTCCTTAGAAGGATCACATAATGAAGACATATGGTTAGAAGTAGAAATAAGTAATGATATGAAAATTGTAGGGGGTGATAAATAGTGAGGAGGATAACTGTAAACTGCAGGAGGATATCAATGTGAAGTTAAGGATTATCAGACTGGCCACGGGCTCATTAAATGGTGCCACAGACTCAAAAGCTGAATGGCCTATTTCTGCTCCTGCATCTTACAGTCCTAGGTCAAGTGGGCATAGTAGTGACAAATAGAATCCAACCTGGAATGGACTTTGGGATAACTAATGGAAAGTGATTACACTATGAATGATAGGAACCTGGAAAGTACTAAAGGTCAGAGGAACCTTGAAGGTAGTAGGGCAGATAGATAAGGTGGTTAAGATACTTACCTATATTAACTGAGGCACAGAATACAAGAGCAAAGAATTCATTGGAATAGTACAAACCACTGGTTAGGCTACAACTAGAATACTCATGCAGTTCTGGTCACCACATTACAGTAATGATGTGATTGCAATGAATTGGGGTACAGAGGGGATTTTCCAGGATGCTTGGCTGTAGTGTCTGATATGAGGCAAGATTAGATAAGCTGTGGGTGTTTTTCTCGGAGCAGCGAAGTACGTGATAGAGGTCTGTAAGATTGAGGGGTATAGATAGGATAGATAGGAATGTACATTTTTCCATTAGTACGGGAAGTCAATAACAGAAGACATAGGTTTAAGGTAAGAAATGGAAGGCTAAGAGGGGAGTTGAGGGGAGTTGCTTTCAACCAAAGGGTAGTGGGAGGACAAACATTTTCTTGACAGCTTATCTATCTTTGGAAAAACAAGGTCAGAGATCCCAAGGAACTGCAGTGTGTTATATCTTTTTAAATTTACAATAAATTTGAATTATTTAAATTAAATGCAGTTACCTAGGACCATAGGACATCAGAGCAGAAATTGGCCATTCAGGTTTTGAGCCTGCTGCACTATTTAATGAGACCATGACTAATCTGATAATTCTTAACTTCATTTTCCTGCATGAGTCTTGATTCCCTTACCGACTTTAAAAGTCAGCCTCAACCTTGAATATACTTAATGAACCAACTTCGACAGCACATCTGCAGGAATGAATTCTACAAATTCACAACCCTCTGAAAAAAGAAATTCCTCCTCATCTGTCTTGAATGGACAATCCCCTTACTCTGAGATTTTGCCCTTTGGTCTTAGACCCTCCCAGAAAGGGAAACAGCTTCTCTGATCTACCTTCACTGTATCCCAGATATGGTCCAACTGGTGCCTCATATAGTTTTAGCAAGACTTCCCTGTTTTTATACTTCATTCCCTGTGAAATAAAAATTAAAGTGCTGTTGGTATTTAGGCTCATTGACAAAATAACTTTGAATATACAGCTTGGTAACAGGCATCCTGAGAGCTGTTCAGTGACTATGTTGGAAAATGTCAATACAGCCATCAGCCCAGTCCTGATGAAGGGTCCCATCCTTGCTCCTCTGCTGTGTTCCTCCAGCTCCACACTGTATTGATTCTGACTCCAGCATCTGCAGTTCTTACTATCTCCTAAGTTGGAAAATGTGTATACATAGAGTCTAGGTGAACATCAGGCTTGGATGTGGTGATTCACACAACTGAATACCACACAAAAACTGGCTACTTGGGCAATTTACCAAAATTGCCCAATCCCTGTGGATTCAAAGTGGAACAACATAAGAACAAGATTTCTTTTACAAAAATAAGAGAACACCGGCATGGAACTTAAATCCAGAATTCTGAAAATGGATGATGAACTTGGCTCAAACTGCTAATGGGATTATTATGGAGAAAGTGCACAGTGTAATTATTGGAGGGATGAAACAGAATCCAAACAAATTGCAGGAAACAGTGTGGAAGGAGAGACTTCCATCAAGCTCTACTCTTTAGAAATCATTTTGTTCTGAAAAGTAGTACCTCACAGTAGTTCAGTCTTCACATCTCTCTTGTCAGATTTCTTTGGATGTTGGTTGAAGATCGAATGGTAAACATTGTGACATACCCAAATGTAAAAATATGATTGGGCATTTTCCTCTCTTCTTGCTTTGCAGGTGGAGGTGGTAGTGATGAACTAATGGCAAAGCTGAACGAGAGACGGGCAAGACTGGGAGAAGATTAATGAACTGATTCAAATACATATCTGTTTAACTGAGTTAGAGAAGCTGCGAACACAAGCATTGCTCTTGAGTTGATATCATTGACTCCTTTGAATGTAAAATTTACATCAAAGTAAACAAAAAAACAAAAATCGTAAGAATTCTGGGCTTTACCAATCTGCTTCTCGTTCGTATCAAACCCCAGTGATGTGGAAGATGACGTTCTCACAAGAACAATTTAAGACCTAGTTCTGTTGATGAAAAATCTAATGGTAAATTTAAGACATTGAATGCATCTTTCTACACTGCATTCTAGAGGAGTTCAAATGATTTTAACTGGGATCTAAAAAGCTAACATTCAGGAGAAGACATTTAAATCTCTGATATCGAGGTGGCAGATAACCACCTACAAGATTGAATGAAAAGAAAGACTGGAGTGGAAAATCTTGTAAGTTGATAATTGAAGCATTGTTAGTAATAGTGCAATGTCATTTTAGTCGTCGTTTTAGAAGCTCCACTCAGGTGGTACAAGAAATGAGAGGTCACAGCCTCAGGATATACCAAAGTGTTCCATAGTGTATGAAGTATTTTGGCATTGTTATAGTGAAGTAATCATGGTACAGCCAATGAGTACATAGCAAGGTCCCACAAACAGCAATGGAATTATCTGGTGATTATTATTTGTTTTAGTCATATTGGTTGATTGATGAATATAGGTCTAGTGACCAGGAGATTTTAACCAACATTTTGCAAATAGTGCCATGGAATCTTTTACACACCTGAGCACTGGTGCCTTGGTTTAGCATCCTACCTTTAAAAATTACAACTCAAGCCATGTAGCAGTCCCTTGCAGCATTATCAATCTTCATTGTACTCAAATCAGTGGTGTGTGACTTGAACCCTCAATCTTCTCACTTCTGGAGGTAAGAACATCATAGCTGAAATATTACAAAATCCGGATGAAGGATACGATGCTTGCAAGTACATAATTTTCAATTAGGAGTTGAGAGGAATTTCAAGTCAGACTTTCTACTGGTATAAGTAAAAGTCACAATATTTTCAGATAGCATGTAAATTGAAAGGCTGTCAGTAGAAGTTTGAGAGGTGACCTGAAAGAAGTTTATAAAACAATGAGAGATATAGATAGTTCCTGGTAGTTGTCTTTCCCTAAGATCGGGAATTTCAAGACTAAGGGGCACATTTTTAAGGTAAGAGAGATTTTAAAGACATGAGGCAAATTTTTAAGTGGATTGTGTGGAATAAGCTACCTGATGAAGTGGTAGATGTAGGTACAATTACAATCATTAAAAGACATTTGAATGGATGTATAGATTGGAAAGGTTTGGAGGGATATAGACCAGGAGCAGGCAGGTGGGACTACTCTAGTTTAGGACTGTGTTCAGTATGGACTGGTTGGACCGAAGGATCTGTTTCCATGCTCTGAGTTGCCTCAAGTCTATTTATCAATCTGGTTCTGAGGAAGGGTCACCAGACCCGAAACGTTAACTCTGTTTTTTCCTTCACAGATGCTGCCAGACCTGCTGAGCTTTTCCAGCAACTTTGTTTTTGTTCCTGATTTACAGCATCCGCAGCTCTTTGTTTTTATTTATCAATCATACGGTTTTCCCTTTGCTTTTAATGTCACTCTGAATTCCTCTTTCACTGACCACATATTCCAAGATCGCAACATTTTAGTTTTGATCTTTCACTACCTGGTTTCATATTGCTTTTTAAAGCAGTTGAGGTTTTAATTGTAAGTTGTCTCCCAAATGCTGCAGTTTCAATATTATCCAACACACAGCTGTTTCATTCATTGAATCAGACAGAAGAATGCCATTCAGTCCAACTTGTCTTATTTTTTTGAAGAAGTATGGTTATAAAACCAAGCAGCAAAGCACAGCATTTACAAATGATTTGTACCCCTGTTGATGTTATGGTCAGTGAGATGTGAAGTGCAATCTTCTTATCGAGAGAACAAAAGTAATTTTAACACGCTGTTGATTGGGATTAGTGAATATTTGCCACTGGAGCCAGATTCCCAATAATGTTCTCAAACCTCAGGCAACTTTATCGCTTTGAAAGGATTTATTTGTGCAGTATCATTGGATAAAACTAAACAAGAATATCTGAAGCTCTTACCATCAGCAACTTCTGAGTTATGTGTAAATTGAGTGCTGATTTCACTTTTTTTTATAGGCTTGAGGCTATGTAATGTACAGCAACCCAGAGAACTAATAAAATGTACAGAGAGTAAATAACAGTTGTCTATTTGGATTTTCAAAGAGTATTTAATGAAGTGGTTGTCAAGAGGGTATTGCACAGCATTAGGACTCATGGAGTTAGAATTATCATGGTTGAGGATTAGTTAATAGAAAAAAATAAGTAGTAATAAGGAGGACATTACCTGGTTGGCATGCTATAACTGGCAAGGCATCACAAGATCCATATTGGGGCCTCAGCTATTTCAATCTATATTAGCGACTCAGATGGAGAACTGAGTAATGTATCAAGTTTTTGATGATACAAAAGTAAGCAGTGAGAAAAATGTAAAGAGTCTGTGGGATGAGGGGTGGAGTATGGGAAGATGTAATCAGGTCAAGAGTGTGCAGGAAAGTACAAATGGAATACAATATGTGAAGTATCCCACTTTGGAAGGAAAAATAAAATGTTGATTCTTTTTGAATGATGATAGACTGGCAATTGTGTGCAATCAGAAATATGAATCAGTTAGAATCTAGGGGCAGCTAGAAATTAGCAAGGACATTCTATATTAGCTTTTATCAGGGTGGGGGGGGGGGGGGGGGAGAAATAGTGTAATAGTAAAGATGTCTTACTATAACTGAACAAGGCATTGGTCTCTTTACCCAAGCAAAAACATGCTTTCTCTGGAGACTGAAATGCAGATTTATAAGACTAGCTTCTGGCAAGAGGAGATAGCCCTATGAGGATGTATTGAGTTGGCTAAGCCTACAGTTAATGGAGCTTAAGAATTACATGAGATTTAATTGAAACACAAAATTCATAACAGGCTTTTACTGGGGAAAATGATTCCCCTGTTTGGTGAGTCAAGAATAGGGGCTCAAATTCTCCAACTATGTAGGACTGAGATGAGGAAAATGTCTTCAACTCAAATGTTTATATACATTTTGTACTTTCTACCACACTGAGGAGTGAGCATATTCATGAGACAGATGTATAGATTTTACAATACTACGGGAATTAAAGGATGGAGAGTGCAGAGAACTAGTCAAGGGGCAAGATCAATACGATCTTCAATGGTGGAGTAGGCTTGAAAGGCCAAATAGTCTACTTCCTGCTCCTATTTCTTATGTTCTTGTCTTCAGATAAAGAGTGTACCTAATTACCAGCTGTTGCTTTTCTGTATTTGATAATATTTTGGAAGTGTATTGGGAGGAGCAGAAGTTTTGTTTCCTAACTGACATTAAGAATGGAAAGCATCATCTATGCAATGATGACTTGAACTAATATCTTACAATGTATAAAAGGCATCAGTTGGTGCCTGCAACTTCCTTATTGAAATACAACATTGTTTTGTCATTTCATGTGGATCAAGTTAATGTTGATAAACTATGATTATCAAGTAATTCAATACCACATTCATAATTAAGTAGATTGCACATTAGCTGCGAAAACAAATGCATATTGTTGGTTTGGAGCTTGTTTAAACAAGACTCCCTATTCTGCATTCCATTGTGCAGTTTTAGCTGAAAAGAGCAGGACCAATAAAGTACATAGTGGCACAGCCAAATATAGCAACAAATGGCGAAAGAAATTGCATACCATATTCATTCAAATCTGACTTGACGACTTCAGGGATTGGAGAGGGTGATAATGAGTAATGAAGATTAGGAAATCAAGGATGGAGGGCAGTTGTGTGGTGGTTATGTAAATATCGTAACTGGAGGGTGATAGGCTGGACAGTGGGATTTTGAAAGCACAGTTGCAAGTTTAGTAGGGAATAGATTTTCCCAGTGTAATGTGAGGAATGGGATATGGTTGGACACTGATACAAAAAATGTGGTTATGGATGGTCTTATTTATGATTGGGAGTTGCAAGTACTTGAGATGGCAAGGTTTAAGGGGTTGACCATGACTGAGTTTGAGTGTTTACATGGAGGGAATGGTCAGATTGGAGAGCATGATGAATTCATATGAAGGTTAAAATCAGCAAAGATCAGCTGACTGCAGACAGGGGGAGGAAAGCGTTTTGAGATACTTGGGTGAGTATTAAAATTTTAAATAAGACACAGGGGGAGAAACCATACAAGATGTTAATAAGCAGAAATCCCCAGAGAAGGAGGGGGACAGGTGTAATTTGGATACAAGTGCCACACCATAAGGCAGGTGTTGTAACTTATGACAGGTGGGGAGGCTTTATTTGGAGGAAAGCCATCATGACAGGTTTTCTCTTTCCATCAAGAGATACCTTCCATACCTACCAGACAAATGCTGGAATGCTACTCCAAAAGTTTTTAAAAAAAAAAACAAAAAAAAAAACTTTACAAGATAACTGGTTCCAAGTTATTTTATTTTTTTCAGTAGATAAATTTTCAGTTCATTTTTATTAGATAAGTTTTTCAGTTCACAGTGTTTGGCTTCTCCAAAGTGAAAATCTAGGGAGGACACTCCTCAAGTAACCTGACTATTCCAAATGTGAAGGGAAAGGTATTGACAATCCTATAGCTCTGTGGCACAAATAAAATCATGTTTGAAATGTCTCAGCTGGAACACCAGCATTATAGCATCTGGGGACAGAATTTTAACTTATTAACAAAAGTTGAAAATGTTGTCTGCCATTGTGGATCACCTGGCTTATTAGTTATAAAGTTTGCACTTCCATGAATTCGATTTCATTATAAATAGAAGTTGAGTTTTTTCAATTAAAATTGGCAATGTCAATTAGCTTTCCATTAAACAAATGAAACACACATTTTGATGCCACTTGAATCTAATGCTGAACAACTAGACAAAAAGAGAAAATAATTTGCATCTACATAAGCACCTTACATTACTTCAGGTTGCTTCAAACATTTTACAATCAATGGATTACCTCTGATTTGACTCACTGTTGTAATGTAGGAAATTTGCCAATATTTGCACAGCAACATCCTACACTGTTTGGTCAATTAATTATATC